ATTCAATTGTCCAAACAATACCAGCACAGAAAGTCGTCTTCAGTGAACTCAGACATCAGTAGTGTAACTATCTTAACTATCTTTTATATACACATGTTGTTTCAGGTCCTCCTACTAGGAAGACAGTATGATTTTTATACAGGTCTTGTATATTTCACTTTGAGTATGGCCTAAATATTGAGATATTTAGATAAAAATGAGACATAACTTGCACACTAGGGTATTTACCCTTCTAAGGTGTGCATTTCAGCTTTTGGTTAGTTTTTCAGTACTGGAGGTTAAACCTAGAGCCTCACACATGCTAGGCAAGTGGCTCCACTCCTGCAGCATGGAGATAGATCCCAGTCTCTGTTCAAGTTGTCCAGGTTGGCTCCAAATTTGTGATTCTCCCTCCTCAGCCTCCCGAGCACTGGGATCTGCATTTCATGTAATATGGACACAACAGTTAAGTCAGGCATGCCAGCACATCTGCAATGCCCCTCAGAAGGCTGAGGAAGAAGGAGCCTAAGTTTGAGCCCAGCCTGGGCAGTGCAGTCTCAAAATAATATGAAATATGGGTAGTAGTGTGTCAATGGCCAGCTCCAAGCAGACATATCTGTATTCTGTCAGTTCAGGAAAGTAAGATTCACAGTGAGAACTTTAAGAATTGTGTATACTGGTGCACAGTTGTAATCCCAGCACTCTGGGAGGCTGAGGCAGGAGGATCATGAATTTGTGTCCAATCTATACAATTTAAGACACTTAGCAAGATTGGTTCAAAAACAAACAAAACGATGGCTGAGAATGCAGTTCAATATGAAGACCCTGGGTTCAATCCCAAGGTTAAAATTTTTTTAAGTACATAAAAAGATTTTTAAAGAATAGAGGAGGGGTTGGGGATTTAGCTCAGTGGCATAAGTGCCTGCCTTGCAAGCACGCAGTCATGAGTGCGATCCCCAGTACCAAAAAGAATAGAGGAATTTTTTCCTTTTGTTCACTAAGGAAAAGAAAATGGAATCACTGTATGGGATGAAGGGTTAGCAGAGAAACAAGTTTTGATGTAGAGCTTGTTAAACTAGAATGGCTGTTGCAGGGGGAATAAAGTTTTTAAGAAGTTTTGAATTTGAAAATACTTTTTTACTTTTTGGTGTTTTTGAGACAGTGTCTATGTAGTTTAGGCAGGCCTCCAATTCACTAGGTAGCCCAGACTGGTTTTTTTTTGTTTGTTTGTTTGTCTTTTTCCTTTTTATCGGTACCGGGGATCAAACTCAGGACTGCCTGCTTGCAAGGCAGGTGCTTATGCCGCTGAGCTAAATCCCCAGCCCCTCCAGACTGGTTTTTAACTGGTAGTGATCCTCCTGTCTCAGCCTCCCTTCTGAGTGGTGAAATTATAAGCATGCCATCTCCACACCTGGGTGAAAGAATTTTAGACTTATAAAAAGCTCCCATCACATAGCTAGGTGTGATAGCACACACCTGTAATCTTAGCTATTTGGGAGGCTGAGGCAGGAAGATTGGAATGCAAGTCTAGCTAGGTAATTTAAGACCCTGCCTCAAAAATAAGTAAGAAAGGAAGGAATGTGCAGGTCATGGTGGCGCAAACCTGTAATCCCAGCACTCAGGAGGCTGAGGTAGGAGGATCACTGCAAGTCTGAGTCTAGCCTGGGATACAAAGTGAGTTCAAGGCCAGCTTGAACTACACAGGGAGACCTTGTCTCAAAAAAACAAAAACAGAAAGACCAAAGGGTGGGGCTGGGGATGTAGCTCTGTGGTGGAGTGCTTGCCTAGCACACATGACCCCAGTAGTGTGTGTGTGTGTGTGTGTGTGTGTGTCCTTCCCCTACCCTAATTCTCTAGTGTGAACATTTTACAGTAGTTGCTTTATCACTGTGAGTTTGTGTGTGTGCATTGAACCTAGGACCTTACACCTACTTGGCAAGAGGCACTGTACCACTGTATGTATATGTATATGTATATGTATATATATGTACATATACATATATATATACACATATATATACCACAAGAGGCACTACACCACTGTGTATACATATATCTCCCCGGCCATTTTAATATACAACTCCCTCTGAATCTTTTGTGAGCAGTTTTCACATCATTTCTTCTCATCCCTAATCTACCTGGTAGATATTTCCTTAAAACAGCAGCTTTCTCCTGCCTAACCCTGATAATACTACAATACAGGAGAAATTAACAAATGTAACACTGTTATCTAATCTGCAGACCTTACTCAAATTTTGCCTAATGTTCCACTAATTCCCTTAAACAAAACAAACTTTTTCAGGTCTCCGGTCATTTCTCTTCAACTGCTTTAATCCCAAAATCGGTCTCCAGTCAGTCCTTCTCAGAACTGCACCGATTCCAGACTGCAGGGCAGTTACTTTATATCCTGTTTCTCAACTGAGTCCCGCCTACTAAAAAAAAAAAAAAAAAATCCTTTGTTTTGGGAGGTTTAGTTGTGATCTTGAATGAAGACTTGTCTAGGCTCACTTTCCAGGTCCCCTCCCAGCCACCTTCCTGATTATTTGTTCTGTAGACTTTTAAAATCATGCTGGTGATAAAGGAGAAAACATTTCACATCCAGAATCCATTCACTTGCATTATACAGATTTTCCGCCATTGAGATTCTCGCGTTTTACGAGCTTAATTTAATAAAAGTTTATGGAGAATTAGTACCTACTCTTTCCAAACATTTGAGCCTTTAATTACCTGTAACCTCTGCTGTGGAGGATCGCACCTTTGCAACGATGAACTCTGCCCTCGGTTTGGAAGACAAAGAGCCGTACAAATGGGTGGGTGTTCTTATAGCCATTCAGCAAATATTTGTTAAGTGCATAGTGTGTCAGGCTGTATTCCAAGCCCTGAAACTGTAGTATTGCTGAACAGAGCGAAAATATCCCAGTGTTGTTGGACAAATTATCTGCCCCCCTCCCCAAACTGGAACCCAAGGATGCAACAACTTCATGCAGGAGGAAAGCAGTGCTCCGCAAACTGGGCAGCTAGGAGTCCTGATTCTACTTTGGCTAAGGCTCCCGCGGATCCTTGTTAAACAGCGGAGTAGTTACTAAGTGCAAACGCTCAGCAGAAGCGATGGCGCCAACAGCAGGGCAGGTTTCTGCCGCATTTGCGCCACTGTTCTAATCACTTTCAGGGAGCGGCGAAGTCAGGCGCCCGGCTTCCCTCCCCGATGGGGACCGGCACCTGGGAGCCCTGCGCCAAAGCTCCCCGCGGGGGGCGGCTCCCGGGGAACCGGCTCTGCCAGGCAGCCTCGCCCACTGCAATGCAATCTGGGTGGTTTTTCCAGGTCCCTCCCGGCCGCTCCGCGCCCAGTCCCTGCCCCCAGACGACCGAGAGCCAAGGCGGGTGGCACCGAGATACCTGCGGCAGGGTGGGGCCGAGCGGTGACTCCACACCTTGCAGCCAGGACAGCGGGGCCTGCGACCTTGCGGGCCAGGCCGCCGCCGGGGGGCGGTGCCGAGCGTTCCGCGAGCTTCGGTCCCCGCCTCGCCCGCTCCCGGGGGAAGCGCACTGCACCCCGCGCCCAGCCCCGCCTGCACCTGGGCCCTGCTGGGAGCGCGCGCGCCCTTGGCTAGCTCCACCCGGCGCCTCGCCCCTCCCCGGGAAGCCGGGTGTCCAGCTTCCCGGGCTCGGCGTCCTTGTACTGACACCGGCTCGCGCCCAGCGCGGTTTCCTGCAGGGAAAGGTGCGTGGCTTACCTGACTGCACAGCACGAATACGCAGGGCTGGTCACCTGGACTGAAGGGGACGGATTTCAGGGGAATCTCTTCCCACGACCACACCGCGTGAAAATAAAAAAGTCCCAGCCAGTTCCATTTTTGGTATTTTTCTAAAATGTCAACATAACTTACCGCACTGCCATCCGACTTGGGGACTGCGGGTTGACGGCGGGCGCAGGAGCATCTAGCCAGCCCTAGTTGTGTTGCGGGAGGGAGGTGGTTTGAAACATTGGTGAAGTCGACACACTCCAAAGCCAAAAAGCTGTAGGCGAACGCCTGTAAGCCCAGCCTTGGGAAGCTGAGGCAGGAAGCTCACCTGAGTACGAGGTCAGCCTGAACTGCATAGCGAGAACCTTCTCAACAAAACAAAGTCAAAAGACACAAGTACAGCGTATGGGGCCAAAGTGAAGAATTCAGGAAAAGGCTTATTTGGACTGTTTGGGGAAAACCTTTATTAGGCATGCAGGGTAGGTGCATTTTATTCAAAGCTCCAGGCAAATCAAAGGAAGCGGGCCCCAACCCCGGAGGGTTTTCCGGTCTTGAACTAGCAGCCGGGACAAACAAGGTGTAACAAGGAAAAGTTGGGACAAAGGGAGCGGGGGGCCCCCACCTGCCTCTCGATGGTGAGTGGCCGCGTCCTCCGGCGACTCGGAGGCAGAGCGCGGGCCGCTCCCCGAAAGGTGGGCACGGCGAGGGGAGGGACCGCGGCGGGGCTCCTGCTGTTTGCGCTGAGAGGTGTGTGCGCCCAGCAGAGGCTTTTCCGGGGCTCGCCCACTGTCCCCGCCACCTCCCGGCTGCCGCGGGCCGGTCCCTCCCGCAGCTCACCGCCCGGGCGCCGCACCCAGGCAGCTCCGCGCCCGGGGCCTCACCTCTGGCCGCCTTTCGCCGGACCTTGGGGGACTTTGGGCCGCGTCCCAGGCCGCCAGTCTCTCCTGGAGCCCCCCACGCCTCTGGTGCCGTCCAGGAGCGACCCAGCCCTCGACTCCGCGCCGGGAACCCCTCACCCTCTCCCCGGCCTGCCTGGTCCCCGCCCCTCGGGCTCCCCCCGGCCGCTCGGCCCCCCGCCTCTCCATTCACCACGCCATTGTCTCCCGCCCCTCTCCCCCTCCCCGAGCTGCCTCCTCCCCCGCCGCTGCCACGTCGCGGTTTGAAGGAGCCAATGGGCGGCGCCGCCAGGTGTCTCCTACCTGCGCCGTGCGGGGGAGGGGCCGGGGCGGGCAGGTAGAGCCACCTCCCCAAACAGAGGCGCTTTCAGCCATTGCGCGCGCCGCCCGGGGTGCAGCCCTGCTCCGGCTCTCGCGGACGCACGGGCGAGTGAATACAAAAAGGGCGGCCCCGCGCCCTCCTTCCGCCCCTTCCTGCCCGGGTGCGCGGCGCCGGCCAGGTGCGGGTTCGGGGTGGTGACCGCCGGCGGGGGGTGGGCGCTCTTTCTTTGGCTCGGAGGCGAGGTCTCGCCGAGCGCAGGGCTCCCCGTCCCCACTCCCTCCCCGCGCGCCGCCTCCCGGCCCCCTCTACCCTCCCCGCCTCTCGCCATGACGGCGTCTCCGGATTACTTGGTGGTGCTTTTTGGGATCACTGCTGGGGCCACCGGGGCCAAACTGGGCTCGGATGAGAAGGAGCTGATCCTGCTGCTGTGGAAAGTCGTGGATTTGGCCAACAAGAAGGTAATTTCCCCACAGGTTTCGTCCCTAGCCGAGGAGGGGGGCGAGAAGTTTGTTGGAGAAGTGCGGTGGGGTGGGGGAGAGGAAGCGAGTGCCCTCGTCGCTGCCCACTCGCGAGGCTGGACCCGAGGCCTGGAGGATCCGGAGGGAAACCGAACTTGTTGGCCAGGCGCCTTGGGGCCCTTATCTGCCCTCGGAACCCGGCCCCGCGCAGTTGAGCCAGGTTCCCTTGCCGGGCCGGGACCAGGTGGCCTTCGTGGGTCCCGGGGTCCACTCGAGCCCTGGCGACCTGTTCGGGTGGGGGTGGGGCAGGGGCCTGGACGCGCGCCCACCCGGCGAGCTGGGACGCTGCACCCGGAGCCCTGAGGGGGCGCGGGCGGCCGGGCGTGGAGCGGGGACCTGACCCGCATTTCTCTGCCCGCGGAGGTGGGACAGTTGCACGAAGCACTCGTCAGGCCGGATCACTTGGAACTGACCGAGGACTGTAAAGAAGAAACGAAAATAGACGCCGACAGCCTGTCGACGGCTCCGCAGCTGGACCAAGCCCTGCGACAGGTGACAGCCCGGCCCACGCCGCCCACTCCCACCCGGGCCCCCAGCCCGGCCCCGCCCGGCCCCACCCCTGGGGCGGCCTCGGCGGGTCCCTGGGACGGGGCCGGGAGATCACGCGTGGGTGGGACCCGTGCTGGGGCCCCGTGAGGCTGGCGGCTGCCTCCCCTCGCCTGAGGGTCAGGGCCCCCAATTCCCCGGTGCTCGAGTCCCTGAGTCGTTCTCGGGGCCGGAGAGTCGGCAGCGTCTTGCCAGTCCGAGGCCCGGGCGGAATCCCAGCGTCCCCAGGTCCAGGTCCGGACCCGGGCGCGCGGGTCCCGGGTGGGGTTCGGGTCTGCGGCCCGGCTGGGGCAGGGGGCGCTGTGGCCCGCGCGGTGCTGCAGGCGCCCCCCGGGTTTCAGTGGCAGCAGGAAAGTCCCCGCCTGGTTTCAGCCTTCGGACTCCCGCAGCGAGGGACTCGGCTGCTCCCGCGAGGGCGCCGGTCCCAATCCCGGGAAGGGCTTGCAGGTGCTGTGGGCTGTTCAGCTGGGCACCGTGGAGCCGATGGAACCCTCCTTTGGGGTGGAGGTGACCTAAAAGGGGCTGACGGCTTTGGATGGGGCCTGGCAGGGCGCCCCGCAGCCCCGTCCTGGCACGCGAGATCGGGTCGTGAAAGAAACTCACCATTTCCAGAAGGATGCAGGGAGACTCAGTGCCAGCCTTTCCAGAGCTCTGTGGGTCCACTACCCTTTTTTTTTTTTTTTTTTAATTAAAGTCAGAAATGGGTTATGTTTCTTAAACCTGGAGCATACAAGTAAAAAAGGCACACCAGGGAATGATGTAATCTGAAGGCAATCTGCTAGTGAAAGGGAATCTCGGATTTGGTTGAATTTATCGTAAAAGTAGAGGGGATGGAGAAAGGTATTGACCTGCGAATTGGTTTGAAAGCTTCCTTGGGTTTGTAGGGAGTTTGTTTTCTTACGGATCCTCGGCGCGATTGACTCTGGATCAGCTCAGCGCCGCCCAGAGTTTGCAAATCCGCGTCCTCCTCGTGTGTTCTTGCAGTTTAACCAGTCAGTGAGCAATGAGCTGAATATTGGGGTGGGGACTTCCTTCTGCCTCTGCACCGACGGGCAGCTGCACATCAGGCAAATCCTGCATCCTGAGGCTTCCAAGAAGGTAAGAGCGCTGGCTTCAGAAACAAAAGGTTGCATTTTGGGGCCGACGGGAGGCTTTTAAGAAAAGATGTATCCGAAGGAGGCATTAAAGCCTCAATGGGGAGTTACCATTTAAACGGGTACAGGGTTTCGTTTTGAGATTTTTAAAGCTGTGGTAAAGGGTGGTGGTAACCTTAAGAGAGTAAATGTAGTATTATGTATATTCTACCTCAATTAAAAATGCATGACAACTGTATGGAGATGTTTGGAACTGCAGTGAGGGGTTGGACTAAGGTTATCTATGAAAGCGATCTCTTGTTAAATTTTTTCAAGATTCTTGACATTCTCTCTTTTCCCCAGCTAGCATGGGGGGGCTGAGTTTTTGACGCTCAAAATAACTACAAGTAGGGAAGAAAGGAAGAATTATTTTTAATACATTATAACACTTCTATTAGTGGAAATGCTTTATCCTAAGAAGAAAGGAGCAGCTGGTCTTGATGGCTCAGCGTTGTAATTCCAGCACTTTTAAGAGGCTGAGGCAGGAGGATTGGCAAGTTTGAGCCCTGGGACTCAAGCTGGAGCGGGTGGGTCCACAAAAAGAAGTTCAAAACTATTTTTATTTTTATTTTGGGATAAGGTCTTACTAAATTGCCCAGGATAGCCTAGAACTTGTGACCCTCCTGCCTCAACCTCCCTAGTAGCTGGAATTACACCACCCCAGCCCTTTGCTAACTTTTTTGAGTATTGATGAGAAAATACACTGTTATCTTGGTAGGCTGTGATTTCTTTCCCTGGGAAGAATACTTAGGAGAGACAATGACAAGCACGGACAGCTGCCCCTTCAGCCAATCACTGCTAATGCACTTGCTCCCAACAACTTAAATTAGTTAGAGCTGAACCCTTTTACTGTGGCAGGCAGGCAGGCATCACAAGAGCTTGAAAAGACATAAGCCATGAAGACTGGCAACTGATGACCCAGGCGAGGGCAGTCAGTGCGGGTTTCCCTGTTCATTCTCTCAAAGTATGGGAGGCTGTGAAATTAGTTAATTGTACAGTTTTAAGAGTCTTCTGGGAGAAACTCAAGTTCCATTCCTTTTACAGGAATCTTCATAATTATTTGTTTTTTTTAAATTAAATGTTAGACCAGTTGACATGTCTTTGATCCATAAATAGACACACTTGAGGGTTCTTTTTTCCCTGAAATTTATATAGGGATGGACAAGACTAGAGGCTTTCCCTGTTGGGCTGGAGGAAAACAGCTGTCTGCATTATTTGAGGAGGATTGCTTTGGACATGGGGGAATCTCTCTAGGAAAAAAACGTTCCCCGGCCACGTATTTTAGGATTAATTCAGTGCAAGACACTGAAACAACTCAGCATAAAAGAATAATTCTGTATATTCATTGATAGGGGAAAGCACTAAATAAAAGATAGTATTTTAAGTAGATACAGCTGTTAACATTGTTCCCTCATTGTTGCACATGTGAATTATTGTTGCCACAGCTTTTAAATGAGCTTTCTTGTAGGTAATTGGAAGGATTTGTGATTCTTTTGGTAACTTGAAAGCTGGGACCAGGATGCGGTGACACTGATTTCAACTGTAGCATGAGCAGATCATATTTAATAGAATTGAATAGAAGGAATTTGGATAGGTGATATAATTAAGTAATTAACAAGCATTAAAAAGTATTTCCTTGATTTTTCTAACCTGCAGATGGGTAGAAATTCCTAGTGAGGAAATAAAAACTATTTTGAAATTTTATGAAAACTATGCCATGATAGGGATTTATCTCAATGGCACAAGCTCCTGTCTGGCAAGGGGAAGGTCGGAAGTTCCATCCAAGGTCCCAAAACTCCATGACAGCATGATGGTACAGGCCTGTAATCCCAGAACTTAGGGGGCTGAGGCAGGATGGACTTTGGTTAGAGATAATCTGGGCCGAATAGCAAGATCCTGTCTCAGAAAAGAACTGAAATCAAAAAAGTAAAAATCTTTTTAAAGAAATTATCTCAAAGCTATTGAATGAGGATTTGGAGGGTTATAAAAAGAAAAGACAAAAACAAAGAAACAGTGGCGTCATACCATTTCCATACTATTGAACTTTTTTTTAATTGAACTTTGTTTTTATAACCATAGAAGTGGTACTTGTAGGTAAGAACATTAGGTGACCATTTTTCCTTTCCTTTTTTTATTTGTGATACATGTATTTTGCAATTCTGTTTGAGTTCTAAGATAGTGAGCAGGAAAACTTATGGGTCTATTATTTGACACAAAATTGATCTTTGTTGGTTAATCAGGTAACCAGGTAACCAGGTAACCGTTTGACCTACTAAATGTTTTGGGTGAAATGCATAATAGGATACCAAGATTGCGTGTCATTCATTAAAATTTTTTCTGTGAGATATATAGTCAGGACCCAATGTAATAATAGGAGCAACTATTTTTAAAAAACACTTACAGGGGCTGGGGATTTAGTTCAGTGGCATAAGCACCTGCCTTGCAAGCAGGCGGTTGTGAGTTCAATTCCTGGTACCGATAAAAAAGAAAAAGACAAAAAAAAAAAAAAAAACCTTATATTAAGTTTTCTGCTTTAGAATATCATGATAAATTATGCTCATATTCAATTTTTAGATCCTTAATTGTTAGGGAAACATGGAACCACATTCCCCTAGTTAACATTATCTACCTTGTCCTTCCTCAGAATGTATTACTACCTGAATGCTTCTATTCCTTTTTTGATCTTCGAAAAGAATTCAAGAAATGTTGCCCCGGTTCACCTGATATTGACAAGCTGGATGTTGCTGCCATGACACAGTGTATCCTTCAAATGATTAGCAAAGAATCTTTTTGAAAATATTGCTCCAGGGAGAAAATGGTGGATTCAAGAAACTTTTGAATGCTTTAAACTGTCAGTGTGTGGATGGAATTGTCCTATCCAAAATTTGTCTGCACACTGTGCTAGGAGGAGCCAGTAGTGTCATTAGATCTTTCAGAGTAGCTGTTAAACCAAGTTAATTATTTTATTTTACTTATTTATGGTTTGTTTTATATCAGGAGCCAAACTCAGGCCCTTGCACTTGTGAGGCAGGCATTGAGCCTGCTGAACTACATCCTTGGCCTTATGTTTTCTGAACCAGGGTCTCACTATGTAGCCCAGCCTGGCCTTTTAAACTGAATTTAAACAGTTGGTGAACAGATTTAGAGATGGGGTTTTGTGAGGGGATTGCTCTGATGTAGATCACAAAGCCCTTTGTGCCGGTGACTTTGGTCTTTGGTCTGCTTGAGTAGTAGGTACCTGTGCTTTCATTACCAGCTGGAGTTACCTCTTAATCGCCCCCTTCACGGGTCATGGTGGTTTTAATAAATCATCCTTAGGAGTGGCAACATGACAGTGGGATTGTCTCCAGATTCTTTACATGCCAAAATAGTATATGTGATGCATTATACATTGTAAAAGTAGATTTTATAATCCTAAATCTTAAAATCATAAGTGACCTCTTACGTGGATTTCAGTCTTTAAAGTATTAAGGTATTTGATGGGAACCTGCATAAAAGGAGTTCCTCCAGAGCCATCACAAAGTAGAAACTATATTACTGTTAGGAACTGGTGTGTGAGTGTGGGTTACTCTTAAACTTTCTCATTGACTCAAGAACTGAGGCCAGGACCAAATGTGGTGACACACACCTGTAATTCCAGCACTTGGGAAGCTGAGGCATGAGATTGCCACAAGTTTGAGGCCAGTCTGGGCTTCAAAATGAGTTCAAGGTAGCTTGAGCTATACAGTGAGACTGTCTTAAAAAAAAAAAAAAAAAGCCAAGCATGGTGGTACACACCTATAATCTAGCCCTTGAGAGGCTGAGGCAGGAAGATGGCCAGGTTAGGGAACAACTCTGTTCTTAGCATGTGCCAGTCTGTGACACACTGAAAACAGAAATACTGTATCTGGGAAAAAACTGGGGCTGTGGTTCTTAGCTCAGTAGTAATGCACACACTTGTACAAACACATAAAACTTTAGATGGGAAAAGATAGTGCACTATGAGTTACTTATGAAGAACCCTTTTCCTAGTGCTTACTGGTCAGTGAACTAGTAAAAGCTACCATCCCTATAAACAGGAAGTTCTGAGGTTTAGGCATTTTGAATGTGTTGACAGTTCAAAGAAAACTTGTTAGGTGTTCATCCTTTTTTCCTTCTAAGATCGTCACAGGTTAAAATTGGGGTGATTAGCAAGATTTTCAAAATGTTCACTTCATACTCTACAGTCCTTTTCACTGTCTGACCTTTAGGTAAATGAGTAGGATGGATGTTGGGCTAATAATCGTTTAAAAAATCTTTTAATTCTGGCTGTGTAGGGATGTATTGATAGTCCCATTTCAAGGGCCACGGAGACAAAAATCAAACATTGAACCACAGCTAGGCATGCACGATCCCAGCCACTGCACAGGTTGAACTGCGAAGTGTACAGACTTGTGGCCAGTTGGGCAACTTATGGAGGCCTCATCTCAAAATAATTAGACATGTAGGTATCACTGAGTGATAGAGTGTCCCTGGAGTGGTTGAGCACATTAAGGATATTGTGGGGAAAAAGCTAAGTTGGGTTTGGTTTCACGTGCATTGTATCTGAAATTTGAGGTAGGATCTCCTGACCATTCAATAATGCATCCAATAGGAAAAATGACGGTATTTTATATTTTGAGTGTGCAAGATCCGGGGTTGTATCCTTAGCAGCAGCAGCAGCAAAAGGAAAAGGCTTATAGATTTTCTTTGGGGATACACTGAATGTCTTAGATTTATAGTTTTGTTACCAACTAGAAAAAATTTTTAACCATAAATGTTGCTATTAATGTTACATTTGTGTGTTGCTTTTATTAGTTTTTCTTGGTAATAGTTACATTTTATTTTATTTTTGTGGTGCTGGTCTTTAACCCAGAGCCTTGCACTAATTCACATGCCCAGCCCTTACTGTTTGTCTAATCAAGTTCCCCAGGCTGGGTTTGAACTTTGGTCTTCAGGTCTCTGCTCCTTTTTTGAGAAATCAGAATTTTCCTGGCCAAACCAAGTTCTGTGGTCAAAAGCAAATGTAAATCGGAATATCATCTCATCTATGCAAAATATTTCAACAGTGTATGAACGGAAGAGTTTCTTTCAGATGACTAACTAGTTTCCTGGATAACACCGAAGACGTAGCAATAGCCATTGAACATCCTTGCTGTTTGCCATAGAGATGAAGTCACTGGTCCTGTTTCCCTCCGTGTTCCATGAGGTGGACCGGTGGGGGCAGGGAAAGGACTTCCCCCAGAAAGGAACTCATGAGAGGCTTGGCAGGGAAGATGGGCTTAATGTTTCTTGCTATTGATTCTTGTACCCCTGGCTTTTGGCATTGGAGAAGGTTGAGACGGGGTCTCACTATGTAGTCCAGGCTGTCTCCTTAACTCATTGCAATCCTCTTGCCTCAGCCTCCTGAGTGCTGGGATTACAGGTGTGTGCCACTGTGCCCAGCCTGGCATTTTACTTTTAATTAATGCTTTGGTGCTGGTGATTGCCTGTACTAAGGATGTATATTACCACAGGCTATGCCCCAAGCCCATAGTCAACGGTATTTTAGATGAAAGTATAGGAATACCATTTTGTTGAGACTCGATGTGTGTGGAGGAATGTGTTTACTTAACTTTAACCACAAGTAAAAATTACAACCTATTTTTCAATTAGTAGATTTTTTTAAAGAGTAAATTTAGGTCCAGAACAAAATAGAGTAGAAAAAGTCCTCATAAGAACCCTGCTTCTCCCTTTTTGTTTTGTTTTGAGACAGGGTCCTGCTAAGGTAGTTCAGGCTGGCCTTAAATTAAACTCACTATGTAGTCAAGGGTGGCCTTGAACTCCAGTCAATCCTCCTGTCTCAGCCTCCTGAGTGCTGGGATTACAGTCAAGCACCACCATGCCTGACTCCTCTCACTGTTAATACTGCACCAGGATGACATCTGTCACCATGGGTGAGCACCTGAAGTCCTCTGTGAATAGTTCTGATGATTGAACCCAGGGCCTTAGTACTAAATCACATATCAGCCCTTTTTTATTTTGAGAGGAGATCTTGCTAAATCACTAAGTCATGCAGGTTTGGTTCAAACTCAAGATTCTCCTTCCTCAATCTCCCAAAATGTTGGGATTACTGGCATTCACTCTTCTAGTCATTCTTTGGGTTTTGAAAAGTGTAAATGACATGCAAGTGCCTTTGCAGTATCCGAATGCAATGCATTAAAGTATCAGCATAGGGCAGAATAGTTTGGGGTTTGGTGTTTCGTTTTTTGTCATTTATTTATTTATGGAGATATTCTGCTTGGTAATGCAGGCTGGCCTTAAACTCACAGTGATCCTCCTGTCTCAGCTTCCCAAGTCCGGGGATTCTGGGATGACAGACGTGTGCCACTACATCCAGTGCATTACAGAATGGTTTAGTTTTTGAGACAGAGTCTTGTCATGTAGTTCAGGCAGGCCTTGAGTTCAGTATGTAGCCCAAGCTGGTCATGAACTCCAAGTAACTCTTCTGCCTCAGCTTCCCAAATGCTGGGATTATAGGCATGTACTACGTGCTTGGTTAGAATAGTTTTTGTTTTAAAAACTCTTATGTTCCATCTACTCATTTCTTTTACATTAACTTTTTTTTTTTTTTTTTTACTGTCTATAGTTTTTGCCTTTTTGGGAGATTATGTAGTTTTTGTTTTCATCTGATTTTAGATTTTGCTTTTTGGAGACAGTCTCATTTTGTAGTTCAGGCTGTATTTGAACTCGCATCAATCTTCCTGCCTCAGCTTCCCAGTCGTTGGGATTATGGGCATACACCACACCTGGCTAGGATGCAGTGTAGGTGGAATTAAACTGTATATAGTCTTTTCAGATTGGCTCTTTAAGTGTAGTAATATGCATTCAAAGTTCCTCTATGTCTTTTTCATGGGGTATTTTTTATTGCTGTGTTATATGACACTGGATGTATACCACAGTTTATCCACTGTCTTACTGAGAGACAATTTTTTGCTTCCAAGTTGTGGCAATTATGAATAAAACCAAGAAGGGTGTTTGCTGTCTCATAAAATAAGAATATAATTTATCTCAACTGCAATTTTGTGTTTAACACAGATTTTTTGGTAAAAGTGTACAGTGAGGCCTTTTTTTTTTTTTTAAGTAGAATTTGAATATGCAGTATTTCGTCTTTTTGTTTGTTTGTTTTTGTTTTTATCGGTACCAGGGATCGAACTCAAGACTGCCTGTTTGCAAGACAGGCGCTTATGCTGCTGAGCTAAATCCCCAGCCCTGAATATGCAGTATTTCAAAGCATTTTGGAAGTTGAGAACACGAATGTTGTCATTTTCTAGACAAATGCTGTACCATTGAGCTGCACCCCCAACCCCAGTATCGTCTTTTTCTAGTGGGCAGGTGAGACTGAGTCGTATATAATGTTACAGCCTCTGAACCTTCAAGGACTTAGCCACTTGCTCTGCTTCACTGGGAGCTCCCTACCTGTTTTATTGTTGTTGTTTGAGAAGGGACTCACCATGCAGTATGTAGTTCAACCTCACCTCAAACTCATGGCCATCCTCCTGCCTCAGCCTCCTGAACACTGGGATCACAGGTATGCACTCCCAAGCCTGGTTTTCTAAGCCTTGCTTTTGCTTTGGGTCTTCCCACCTGGAAGTGATGTGAAGCATAATGTGCTACGTGAATGAAAAGCCAGGGCCACTTTGGTAAAAGCGCTACGAATTTCTCAAGTGCTGTCCTGGTTCTCATTTTTGCAATTCTTTGCTCTTGTCTGTGTATTCATTCT